AAAAAAAAAAAAAAAAAAAAACGAAGCAAAGGAGCAAGCAAAGAAAAAAGCAAGCAGGCAAGGAGGAAAGCAATTTAAGGAAGGAAGCAAGCACTCATGTAACAAAGGAAGCAAATAAACTTGTCGTACTTATTGACTTGTTCTTCCTCCAGATGGCCTCGTAAAGCATCGTTTTCTTGGTGTTTAAGATGTAACTCCATCAACTGGTCACTCGCGGTCTGAAGATCAACCTGAGTCTTCTCTAACTGGCTGACCAGAATCTCGTACTCTCTACGCAAAGCAGCGAGCTGTGAAAAAAGAATGAGGTATACCAGTTATGATGCTTATTCATAAACCGAAATTTCATTTTTTGAGCCCTTATTTCATATGGTTGTCATGAGTAATTTAATTTGAATGATTATTTACTTAAATGTCGAGCTTTGCGTTAGGATGGAGGCTGAGAGAGAGAGAGAAGAAGACAAAACGTGGGATGCGGAGCATCTTTTCATGTAGTACCTAGACCTTGTATTATAGAATTCTTGAGATAAAATACGCGCGCTGATTGGCTAGCTTGCAGCAGGGTTCGTGCTGAGGTAACCACTTAAAATTCAAGGACTATTCAAGGAGTATACAAGGACCCAAAAATAAATTTTCAAGCAGTATGTTCAGCTAACTATGCCAAGTTTTACACGGTGGTTGCACATGGCCATCTTTCAGATTTTCCAATCTTTCTGACTAGATCTATTTCAGAACCATGCAAGTAATGATCAAAGCAAAAATTCAAGGAGTTTTCAAGGAGTTTCGCTAAAATCATAAAATTCAAGAGCTTTCCAAGTGCCCTTGAAAACGTGAATTAAATTCAAGGAGTTTTCAAGGAGTTTAAGGAGTAGCACGAACCCTGTTACAGTGTTATATCAGACGACACAGATCGCGCAAACCGTAAAAACGCGCGATTTTCTCTGTTCTGTAATATAAACGCTATATGGAAGATGTGAAACACTCAGTGAAAGGAAAGAAAACTAAGCACTCGACTACGCTTCGTGTTTCTAAGCTTGCTGAGGTGAGTCAGGTGATTTAAGGGCAATTTCTTGTTACCTTGGTTTCCGCCTCTTCCGCTTGTTGTTGTGCCGTATCCTTGGCAACCATGACAGCGGTATGCTCTGCTTGTCTCTTGTGCAGGGTGCTCTCTGATTGAYGCAATTGCTGACTTCGCTGTAAAATTCAAGACACTGACCATTAACAAAGCACCACAATGCATTGCAATGCCAACTCGACCCAGGTTTTTCCTCGGCTAATACCAATCCCCTTCTGTCACAGTTTCAAACTCACCCTATCTAACTCGATCTCAAGGTGTCTCTTCGTCGCTTCCAGTCCACTAGCTTTCTCCGTCAGTTCTTTTATTTGGCCCCAGGCCTTGCTCAGCTCTGACTCAAGATGATTGGCTCGCGTTTCTAATGTTCCTCGTAGTTTTGATTCGAATTCCAGGGCCGTGGAGGCCTTGGTACCAGTTGTGCTGGCACTGGATAGTTCGTTACGTAGAAGATTGAGTTCCTGGGAAAAGATATTGTAATATTTAAGAGTGTTGGCATTTATCTGGATCTACAGTTCGTTGTTATGTAGAGATTACATACAAAGACAGACAGACAGAAAAAGAACCAGAAACAAGACAAGCAGAGGACAGACAGACAGAATAAAGACAGGCACACTGGCTTATTAGTAACGACAGGAAGCTATTCACAGGGACAGACAGACAGACTGACTGACTGACGGACTGACCGACCGACCGACCGACCGACTGACCGACTGACCAACTGACCGACCGACCGACCGACTGGCTGACTGACGAACAGATATATACAAACCTCTTCTCTCGCCCTCAGTAAAGTGCTCAAGTCTTTACTTTCTCTCATGGCTACCTCCAGTTGACTAGCAAGAGAATGACGTTCAGTTGAAAACTTTTCTCTCTCTCGTTCCATTTCGCTCTTYAATTCCATGATCAACTTCTCGTACTTGGACTGTAATGAGACACAGCACATATTAGTAACATGCGAAACAGATACAGTTTATCTTTTCCTTTATTTTCAAACCTATACCATTCCCCTCCTCTCCATTCTTATAGCTTATAGTGATTTTGATGTCAATATATAAAGGTTATCAGTCGACTAAGCATCTGATACGGCTGTGTATTTTTACGAGTCACGGAGTCAGGGTTCGTGCTAGGTTCCCAAGGAATTATTCAAGGAGTTTTCAAGGAGTATTCAAGGACCAAAATGATTTTTTTTAAGGAGTAACTCTTAAGAGGGTTTTATCTTGGTATTAAAAAAGTGAGGAAAATGCCAATACTAATCGAGATGTGCGAATTTGTCACATGATATCCACGACACATTGAGCCACTAAGTTCTGGAAACTAATAAAAAAAGACGCTTCTCCCGCTTCTCTCCTCTAATTTCAACCAATGACAACGACTCACGGCTTACGTATCTTGAAAGGTTTACTGACATTTTTTCATGGACAATTTTTTTCAAGGAGTATTCAACGACATTTCTACTTTTTTCCTATTTTCAAGGAGTTTCAAGTGCCCTTGAAAATGCATTTTAAATTCCAGCACTTTTCAAGGAGTTTAAGGACCTGCACGAACCTTGCGGAGTATTTTGGCGAGCCGTTAGACGAGTAAAAATACAAGTGAGGAGTAAAATGCAACCCTGTATTGGTGCCCCAAAWTTTGTAATAATATGAGTTGTCAAGATTTTTCTATCTTGCGGTAATAGTACTAATCCACTGTTTTCAGCATCTCAGACCACGTKTCATTCYCTAAAGTACCTTTTTTCTGGTTTATCCATGAGAARACACAGGAATACGGATACGACTTCAACAAAAAATCTTAGTCTCAGAAAAAGACAGTTGGTCTGAAATGGGCAAAACATTACGTACAAGTAGATTTGGTCAATTCTGAGCCAACAGTACGGGTTTCTATTTGCGGCTCTCTCCCAATCAAACTTTCAGTAGAATCGCGACACTCTAGGGTGCTCCTTAAGGAGGCTCGAGACGGTTTTTCTTGAGCGCGCGCGCTCTAGTTCCAATCACTTAGAACTTGCAAAAGAAAAAATTTAATATTCAAACTGAAAAAAATCAAAAACTGTACTGTGAAATTTCTTCAAATTTTGCATATGCCTTTGGTTTATGCTTTCGAAAACTTAAGGAAAAATTTAAAACATTCTGTAAAAGGGAACTATTCCAAACAAATTTTATTGATTTTTAAGAATTCCCTGTTACAGAATTTTTTCTTTTTTCGTCAAAAAAAAGATCATGATACAAAGTTTAAATATTCTGGTTTTTAAAAAAATTAACCATTCGGTTAGTAGTTATGATTTTTTAAATGAACATTTTTGATGGCATAAGAAGGGTTCTGATGTAGTCATAGCAACGTCTTACGTCATTTTTTCATGTTCATTGTGATCTTTGGTTTATGGTCTTTGGCTTTACAGGTTTACTCTGTCATATTATATATTAATTTTTTTAGTTCATAATTGTGACTGTATGTGAGGGCACAAAACAATTTCCAGCCACCTTAAGTGGGTCTTTAGTTTTACGTACCCGACTGTCCATGGTGGCGTCGTGCTGTCTCAAAAGCTGTGCAGTCAGAGCCTTAACTTCTTCTTTTAGGCTGTCAACTTCTTGTCTCGCTGAGCTACTGCTCTCTGACGTGTAGTGATACCTGGTGCTCAGTTCTAGAGGGGAAAAATTCCAGTCAATGACCTTGTGTTAGTAGACATTCCGAGGTTGAGGGAGAGACCGGGTCGAGTTGACATTGCAGTGCCTTTTGGGGCTGTGCTGTGTGTGAATAAATAAAAGTCTAAAAGTCTATTCTGAGGTTGTGGGAGTACCTGGGTCGAGTTGACATTGTATTGCATTGTGGGACTGTTTGAGTGGACCAAATAGACGCCATCTYGAAAAKATGTMCCCTTAAAACAGCCCCAAAATGCACTGCAATGCCAGTTTGACCCAGCTTTCTTCTCAACCTTGGTATAGCTAATATTGGAACATGCGTTAAGTTGTGAAAGGCCAATTGGCTCTCTTCTTCAGTCGTTTCATACAAGGCTCGAAATTTAGCTATCACGCATGTTCTTATATGATTTCCGAGCCCATCCCACATGGCTTACCACCTCATCTCTCATATAGCTAATATTGGTAAAACCACTTGATCTCATCTCTCCTCTAGGATCTCGTGTTCGATTCCCAGACTCTGCATCACATGTGAGTAGAGTTGGTAAGGTTTCTCCCTTGATTCAAGGGTTTCAGTTTTCCAATTTTCCTCCCAACATTAACATAATCTAGTACCGGCTAAATTCAAAGTCGAACTGTGAGTTTGCTGTGTCCTGACATTGATCAGCAGGGTTTAATAGAGCGCACGCACTAAACCCGTGAATAATATTAGTACTAATTAGTAGTCATTCATACAAAATCCTTTGTTGTTTCCTATTGTTTGATTATCACTATTAAGTACTGAAAATTAGTATTTGTTTCACGGGTTTAGTGCGAGCACTCTAACGATTACACAAAGTTATTGATTTGGCTAGGGATGAAAGAATGGAATGAAATTTCGAAGTGGAAAGATGGTTTTCCTGACTGACCTGCAGTTTTGCTTTGTTCACTGGATAACTGGTGTTCCATGACAGCRCATTTCTGGTCACTCTTTTCGAGCTGTTCGACAAAAAATAAAAAATA